GCCCAATTTGGTCTGGGCCCGAGGTGGGCTTAATATCCGGCGACTACTGTATTACCTACTTTTATACGCTCTACTTTTTTTAATTATTTATTTATTTCCCCTGGTATGCTCCACCCGTATAACCCCCAAATTCACGTGCTGTTCTGGGAGGCAAAGTAAACTTCTATCACATATAGAATATAGGCATAGTTAAGTATTGAGACTCTGAAATAGGGAAATATAAGACCAAGCTATGGGGGACGTCAACGGAGTTCTTGTCTGACGGAGACTTACCTCCTCATAAGCGAGTTCATCTGGGTGTCGAAGGAATTTGCAGAGTCCTTTTCCACGGTTTTGTAGTAGGCATTTCCGCAGTATTCTTGAAAACGGTGAAGATAGGCCCGCATTCCGTACTCTATTTGGGTATAATATTTGCCGTACCGCCTCCAAACCAGTCTTGGGTCATTCGAGCTATGCTGATTCGACATTCTGCTCGTGGCACTCGCAGTTTCTGCAAGCTCCGACGACGCCCTTGGAGTCTTTTTACAACCTAAAAACACAGGTGATGCGATATTATGTTGAAATATTAGACCTTTGCACATCCTATTTAGATGTAGGCAGAAGCTTCCAGCAAAAAGTAAGCCATTTTAGCATTAGTCCAATAAAAAACCGATATGACCGAAGTATATACTCTTCCATTAACTGCAGCCAAAAGTCAAACCTTAAGAAAGCTCACTTGAGTCTGATCACTTAACCTGTGTCCAATCGCAAAAGGCCACGCACTGCAAGGACCAAAACAGTTATAAAGGACCCCTCTACATAAAATCAGGCCACGCGATCATTCCAATAGCAATTAGACGTCTCTGAGCTTTCGGACACGTAGACTAGCCCACTTATGAAAGAACAGTAACACACGAGCAGTTCTGCGATCGGGAAACGCGATAGCGGGTCAGGAAGAAGTGGGCAAGCGGTGCGGACTTGGCAGGGACTACGATCACGCTGATTGGCCGGTCTCGGTCTTGTGCTGCGCTGCCTCTGGATAGAGATTGGTCTGCACCATCTGTTTGGCAGAGAAGAATGCACTATAGCAGAGGGCACATCAATAAGTTTGCTTGTGGTCCAAGCCTTCGTCAGCCCGCAACCACAAAGCAGTAGTAATCTTGCTCGGTGGTATGAGTGGCGACTGAAGATAGGGGAACGCCTCTCCTGAAGGGTCGTTTCTGCTCGCGTATTCGTGAGCTGTCGTCGTGCTGTCTTGTCCGTATGATGGCAATATAATGTGGTCATTCCATCTAGGCTGCGTCTGATTAAATGTGGTTTGACTATTCAATATAGTAGTCAACGCCAGAATTCGTGTCCATAATTTTACTTCTAATAGCCTTCTGAATTTTACCCAAAGATTAACTTTCTCAGGGTCTAAATTCTTCGCTTGAATCCGTAAAGTTTTCTAGGCCTCGGTATGAGGAAGGATGCTGTCAGGGTGATCGCCCCGCACGACGACTGCAGACGCGATGTTGCAGCTTAGTACAATGCATGGCTACCCAAAACCATCCGGGCGCAAGTTACTCGTCTATTTTGATGGTACGTAAGACAGCACTAGCCAGACAACAAATGACGTCTACGCGTTGATTA